ATGGTAACTAGATTTGTAGCAGGTACCCTGTTCCTGTGGTGTTGGGTTACGTGATGTGGCAAGTTTTGAAAGGCATAGGTTACCATATATACATGAATGTGTTCGAGTAAGAATAATTAGAGCAGTACTTGTAAGGCTAAACCATGTGAAGGCAAACATTATGCATTTGCTTTGCAAATGTTACTTGCTATTTAGTCCTATTTAGTTCCTTCTAAAGGTTACTGAAGGTCACCAGACGTCTACAAAACTTACCTAATAATTGTTTTATTGCAAATTGATGCCCAGGGGCTAATTGCAAGTACAGAAGAAAAATTACACCGAGAACTACTGATAACTCCTAAAAATACTGGGTTTTACTTCTTAATACAGGGAGGTCCCAGGCTAGCCTCTATCGGGACTCAGTAACGGCTGGAAAGAGTAGAAAGATAACTTTGCCGGGGGAGTTGGTCCGCTGGATAATGCAGTTGCCGGACTGTACTCGTGCTCTCTAGCGGACCAACTCCCCCGGCAAAGTTATCTTTCTGAATGGCCAATTTCTACTCTTTCCAGCCGCCTCCCGAAGCCTGGTAGAGGCTAGTCCCAGACTGCTTTTGTGAACTGAGCCTAGCCTCGATCACATAGCTGACATAACATGAAATATACACACGAGTGCATGTATATAGAATGTAACTTTTCAGATCATTGACCATAATGGCTTACGGTAAACCAGTCCCACGGGTTTTCGCCTTCTAAGAAATTATTTTCAAATTATATATTCGGATTTGTTTATTGTTTATACCATAAGAATTAACAAATGTCCGTAAGATTCTGCTAAAGTGTGTTTTCTATAGATTGCTACCTATCTTTCCTGAAGCTTCCCATTTATTCCCAGCATTTTCTAACGCGTTCATGGCACACTTAAGAAACCGCCCATCTATGTATATATCATGTGGAAAATTTAAGGGGACCCGCATGTCCTTTTCCGTAGAACGTAATCTCAGTCGTTTTAATGCTACATGTACGTAGAGCGTAGACAGACCGCTCTAATTCAACGTAGAACGTAGTTGGCGCATTTTGCGTAGAGCTTATTCGCCGTTTTGATTCTTTACGGCCACTTGGAATTTATCGCTTTCAATATTTAGCGCAGAGCGTTGTCGGGACCCCCCCCCCCCCATGCAGGCCCCCATTTAAGGTGAATGACCTGTGAGATTATGTGTCTTCAACCGTGCAACTGTCTTTCACAATCATCATCGTAAATCTTAAGGTGGGCCAAAGATGCAGCTTTAAGAAAAGTGATTCCCTCTCAAGGGAAAGGTTTATGAGTTTCCTTTATGCACAGAAGTCAATTTCTTGGCAGGGTCTTTGAAAAAAATGTCTGCTCGTCCCGAGTCTGCGTAGTAAACCCTTCTCTTCACGACTCCGAGGTGTAATTAAAACAGACCACAGTTTCCCATTCTCTGATTGGCTGATGCTTACAGACAGAACTCGTTATGTAACGGGATATCTAAGACGTTGCATGTTCCCTACCTCGTCATACTTGTAGAAGGTGTTCGGCAGTTCGGATCTAGGAACCGGTTTGCTGGGCTGTCACAGGTAGGTTTATCTTAGTCGTCTTCAAGTGCTCAATCTATTCGTAAGTCTGACAATTTTGTCTTCACAGGAACTGAGCGTCTCCAAGACCAATATTAGCTGATATTTTTTTTACGACGGTACTGATGATTTTTGTAACCTTAGATGTAGGTTAATTCAGACTATAAAACAGGACAGGGCAGCATGGAGAGAGAGAGTGGACTCGGAGTGGACTCGGTCCGGGCAACACGCCCGACCTGATGGATGATGGATGGATAAAACCTTTCCGTTACTCTTCTGTGGATAGATTTCTCAGGGTGGCAACTAAACGGTTAGCAAAGTCCAAGAAACCCTTCTGAAGTTTCGGTAGTCCTTATGGCCCCTTCCTCAGGGTAGGCGAAACCTAGTCTCCACCAGACTCCTCTGCGGACAAATAGTAGAAATCTGCAGACTGGACCGTCTATGGCTGGCCAACTCCCCTGCAAAGGAGTCTGGTGTAGACTATAGCTAGGCGAAATCCAGAGGCAGGGGAAACATAGAAGCATCCCTGAGAAAGGCGACCGTCTTTAGCTGAATGTCTCCTATTGTGTGCAAAACGATTTGATAACCAGCCTCGTAGCCTACAAGGACTTAGCCACTATCAGGCTTCTGAAGGCGGCTGGAAAGACTAGAAAGTGGCTAAATAGATAGATAACCTGCCGAGGGAGTGGCAAAATGTACTCTAAATTTTGCCACTCCCTCGGCATATTATCTGTCTATTTGGCCAGCCAATTTCTACTCTTTCCAGTCGCCTTCAGAAGCCTGGGAGAGACTATTGCTAGGGGAGGCCGGCATAGTATTGCACAATAAAGCCCGCAATGTCTGGCACTCAAGTTATTGTAGTGACAGACGACTGCTGAGCACAGTCGCCGAAATTTACAACCCGCCATCCTCATTGACCCAAAACTTGCCCCGTTCATCCCTTTGTAAGCGATCCTGCTGTTTAATTATTCACGATGATCTCCTGTCACGTTACTGATGTACCTGTTATTCTTCTGTAAGTGATTCTATATATATGT